ATAAGCTTGTTTTCCTTTCTCACTAAATAACTCAGTGAGGTACCCTTGCTTCAATAAATGATCCACTTCACTCTGCAGGAATCTGCATTCTGAAGTTTTGTGCCCGTGATCGTTGTGAAATTCGCACCAATGATCCGGATTGCGTCTACTTGGATTTGACCGCATCTCTTTTGGCCACCGTACCTTATCTCCCATGCTTCTTAAAACAGCTACGAGCTCGGAGGTAGAGACATTAAAATTATATCCACCGAATCGTGCCTTTAAACTCCTGTCATCATCTCGTGATTCTTGTCTGTTCCGATCATTCCTGAACTTTGAAGAAGAACCAGAATCCCGATTCCTTGATTTTTGATCATATTGATGGCTATCTTGTTTCGACCGTGGGTCCTTTACTGCGGGTCCCATATATGGATCGTACCTATTTTTACCTGATCTTTTTTCGGTTTCTGACCTTCGAGTACCACCCCTTTCTTTATGATGGAGCTTAGGTACGGTATCTTCTTCGATCCGCAGCTTCGTGCTATACATGTTGTAAACATCATTCCATATTGTTGCAGGAAATTCTCTAAGACTTTCTTTGAGTAGTCTCGTGGCTTCAGAACTTTTGTCATTTAAATTACTTGCAAAAGCTATAGCAGCCCAATTGTCAAGCACACGAGGTAGAGTCATTCTTTCACGCTGGAATCTATCAACGAAGCTTCTAAGCAACTCTGAATCCCCTTGTTTGATTTTGAAAATATCTTCCATCCTTTTCTCAACCTTTTGTGCTCCCGAATGTGCTTTAATAAAAGAATCTGCAAGCTCAGCAAAAGAATTAATAGAATTTTCAGATAAAAGAGAATACCAGGTTAATGCACCCTTGGTGAGTGTTTCTCCAAATTTCTTGACCAATACTGATTCAATTTCTTGTTTGGTCAAGTCGTTGCCTTTTACGCCGGTTGTAAATGCAGTCACGTGGTCACGTGGGTCTGTAGTACCATCATATTTCGGGATGTCAGGCATTTTGAACTTTTTCGGAATTGGAAGGGGAGCAGCACTAGGCTTCCATGGTTGTTGTGAGTATTTGTCCATGTCTACTCCTTTTATTACAGGTGGAACTCCAGGGATTTGTTCAATACGCTCATTTTGTTCCTTAAGCTGTTTCTGCAAGGTTAGTACTAAATTTTGCAAATACGAATTATTTAAATTACCTGGTCCCCCTTCTTGTGGTTCACTGGGGGTTGCTCCGTTTCCAGAATTATCAAGACCAGAACGGGGGTTCTCCAATGTATTATTATTAGGAGTTGGTGTAGGTGGCGCAGCAGGCAATCGACTAACAAGTGCCTGAAGAGCTTTGCCGACCTGTGCATCAATTAGCTTTTGCAAAGCTTCAGTTGTAACTCCTTCAAAATGTTCAGATTGCTCTTGTTGATCAGCACGTGATTCGGTAACAGGAGTGCCTTCACGAGATTGACGTGGTGAATTTAGAGGAGAGGGAACCACGTTATCTTGATTTTGATGTATTTGATTCTCATGGTTTCCCAATGTGTTATTACTATTGTTGTCGGCGTTGTTGTTTGACATGGTGACGCCCAATAGATAAGATGTAGTTTAAAAGGAAAGATTATCAGATTCCCGGTAACGGAACCAATTTGTTTAACCAAAAATCTGAGTCTTTGGTCAAAGCTAAAAAGAAATTCGGGTTACTGATAATCAGGAGACAAAAATAAAATACTTTTGAGAACGATGGTAAAGAAGCAAATAGATGTATATTTCAATAAATTCTCAATAGTATTCCGTGTCCTTACAAATGATGATACTTCTTCCTTTTATAGATAATTCTAGGTAAAGGAATGAAGTCTCAGCTTTAATGATACAATCATGAGTAATAAATGATATTAAATAGGCCGTTATACAATCATTCCTATTAAATACCGACTTCATAACGTATCAAGTATTTAATAATGAATTTGGACTCCTTTCTGTCACCAGATCTTTGCTTTCAATGTCTTCTATCCGTTGGCTGTAGATAATTTAAATTGGTACGAGACTCGTATCTATACGTTGTCTCGTGCCTATTTAAATTCTTCTTTCCGTGGTTGTTTCCATCCGTGCCTCTTAGTCAATTGCTGTGCTTTGACCATTTAACTAATTCACGTGTCATGCCACATCATCTTTTAATATAAACTCAGTTTTTTCCCAATACATGGACGCGGTTGCAAGAATTTTTTGTATTGCAAGTAATTTGCAACTATAAATTAGGCTTGCATGGAACTTATAATTTTTTTAGAGCAAGATAATGGAGTATATTATTTCGCATATGCTGACACTATAGCAACGTTGTTTTCTTATTCTTCTTTAGTTACAAATTGAACTTTTGTGTTGCCTATATATAATATATTCAAAATTAGCACGATGACAGCTCTTCCTCCCATCGGAATAAAATAATTTTATTCATTTTTTTGGTTGGTAATTAATACGTTCGGTGTAGTGTCCACTTGTCCGTTAGGAAGGCACTCATCCTCGTACCCTAAAATCAAAGGAGGAGCCACCCATATAGTTACGGGTTTGACCAAACCTAATAACTTTGATATGAATTTTATATTTGTCTTGAGTTATTAAATATGTACGGATTATTATCCAATAACTTAAAAGAATTAGAATACCGCAAATATAAAATTTAAATTCAACCTCCGCCTCTGTCTAAAATTGGAAGGTTTTATGCATGTAGAAAATTTGCTCGCGACATGTATAAAGAATCCAGGACACTTGTCGTTCTTTGATGCCTTATTGGGGAATATTGAAAAACAGTATCATTCCGCAAGTGACTAAATAAGGAAAACGGAATTTATAAAAGTAAGTGATTAAATACGGAAAACAGAATTTGTAAACGGAAGCCCAAATTGGACGAAGATAAAAAGAGAAAACCCAATGATTGAGTGGCGTATGATGGATCTGTCTAGAAACTGCAAAAAATGAGATAAAGTATATTGGACTAAAGGAGAAGAGATAATTCTAGCTTTATTCCTTTTTACTGTTTTCGTTCCCCATTCACATCTCATCCATTGTTAAAGTACAACCAAAAAGGCTTGTTAGTAGATTGGGTGGATTAGGATCAGAACATTTTTGTTTATCAGCTTCCATTTTAAGAAAATAAAATAAAAAATTATTTTAAAATTTTAGATTCTCTTGTTATATCCTATATATGTTGATAAGAATCGTCGCCCCTGTCCAATGATACACTATTGGCTCCTTTTTCGTTTATCTTTTAGTATTTCTTTGCCACTAATTATTCTGTGTTTCGTTGGTTCCTGTTGCAGGTGCGATCTTTTTTTTTTTTTTTTTTTTTTTGGCATAGGATATATATCTCTAGAGAATTATCACATCTTTCTCAAAAAAATAATACTAGTTTATTAGTTTTGCAAGAAGAATTGGCTCTCAAGTGAGTATTTAAACATAAATTTGTGAGCATAAATTCAACCATACAAAAGCTAGCTTTTAGGGTGACATTTTTACAGATATTTTCCCCACGGTATCTATTCTGCTCATCCTATTCAACAATGACAAAATGGCTTCCTGACCACTTAAACTTGTAGGGCTTTTGAAAGTCGATACACAAACTTTAGTCTTTCCCATTTAAACACTCAAACTCGTGAAACCTATAACTAATAAACATCTTTGACCATTGACTATGCTTATGTGGCGGTAACTTATCTTACGTGGACATAGTGCATACAAGTCACATTCAAATGGCGCGTGTATCTGTTACTATTCATTAAAAAGATTATAAAATCAAANCACAAGGGACAGAGAAACAGATCTGGGGGAGGGGGGTGAGAATGAGAGAAAAAGAGATGGGAAAGTGAGCGAAAAAACAAAGGGACAAAGATATTTTTGTGGTTGTTCGGTTTTGAGTGTTGAGGACGTTCGAGATCGTCGGCGAGTTGTTTTTTTTCCGGTTCGTGGTACAATTTCCAGGTTTCTGTTGATCATATATTATCCATGTTTTTACTTGTTTTCTCTAATTCACCTTAACAGTTCTAAGTATCCATTGTTGTTCCTTTGTGTTCGATTTTTTCTGCCGTAGTATTGTGTAAATTATTCGTGGCCCTCTTCGTAGTTAATTTGGTTTGCTGGGTCATTTTGGTACCTTGAGTTAGGTAAAAGTTGCACAGCTATGGTGAAGAAGAAAATAAGGGAAATAGAAGAAAAATTAGAAATTAATAAATTTATTCCAGCACAGCTATGTGGTTTGTTTTCGCGCCCTTGACGTATAACAATCCCATTGGTCATTTGCTGACTGGATGGACACGTTAGTGAATGTGTAATACACGCCTTACAATGGACACATTGGTCAAATGTGTTTATTAGTTAAGGGTTTCAGGGCAATTACGCCAATTCTTTTTAGTTGGTAGGCGTCGTTCATACTTGTTCAGAGCTTTGATGAATAATAAATAAAAGAAAACATAAACGCCGTTGCCGGGGATCGAACCCGGGTCACCCGCGTGACAGGCGGGAATACTTACCACTATACTACAACGACCTTGTTGCTTCAAGCGGCATAGTTCTATATTTAACTGCCAGCCATCTAAACGTACACTATTAATACGGAAAGACTGCACATTAATCATGCGAGCAAAATATATAGTTTTGTACATTAATATAAATATAATACATATATTTTACTAGCGGATATAATTATTTTTGGGTTATTATCATTTTTAGCCCGTGCCAGAAACTATGTACATCTGGTATCCAAAAAAGCATATAAAATTTAAATAATTTTTGTATATAACATACAATATATATATTATATATATATTTTTTTTACTATTATTTTTAAAGCAACTATATAGTGTCATTTTTCTATTATTTTTGGCCAACTGGCAAAATGCATAACTTAAGCGATTCATATTCCATGTTTCCGCTGTGGAAAATAGCTACACGACGCAAAAACATTACAGCTTACCACGAGACATCCATTTTCTCTGTTTTCATTGCCACTTTTATATTTCATCAACTGAAGATAACAAGGCATGCTATATATGATGATCATATATAGCATTGACTTTCGACTTATATAATATGATGATCACCATGGAATATTTACATTCCCATCTAACAAAAGTAACAAGGCATGCTATAAACTTCTGCTCCCTACATAGGATTGAACTGAGAAATTCAAAAGAGAAAAAAGAACATCTCGATGACTAATTAATCTTCAAAATAACAATAATTGACTAGCGATAGCTACGGTAACTTGGACTGTACATGCAACTCTCAGCATATGCCACTAGGTTCTCAGGTTGCGGTAGACGAGTGGCCAAACCTGTTGGACAACGAAAAAGACACATCAACAAATTGCTAAATTATACTATTATAAAGTGTGAAGTCTTACAGTGACAAGATTGTAGAGGAGAAAATCAGATACCTAGTTCATATGCTTTGGCTGCCACCTTGGCAGCAATGTGAGCTGAAATCTTTCTTATGTTCGAAAATGGTGGGTATATTAGTCCCTTCTCAAAGTTCTCTTGACTAACTTCTGCTGCTAATGCTTCCGCTGTTCAGACGAAAAGATTGGAGAGAGAAATGTAAGAATTTATGAAGCAGAAACGAGAAGGCATTTTCCATGCTACTTTTAAGATTTAAACGAATTGGATAGTGAATATTCATATAGCAAATCTCAACTTGCATGGGATTAAGGGATAGTCGTTGTTATTGTTGTTGTGATCAGTGAGAATATTTTGGTTATTCCTTTTGCTTTTTTCTTTTGGGCTTCAAGGGTTAAAGATGTGACCAAGTTGTGGCAAGGTGTGAAATCCACCCAATACAAGATAAAAGGGCAACCCGGTGCACTAAGCTTCTGCTATGCGCGGGGTCCGGGGAAGGCCGGACCACAAGGTTCTATTCAATTGTATGCAGCCTTATCCTGCATTTCTACAAGAGGCTGTTTCCACAGCTCGAGCTCGTGACCTCCTGGTCACATGGCAGTAACTTTACTAGTTACGCCAAGGCTCACCTTCAATACAAGGAATTGGAATAATATCAGCTGCAATGAAACAACTTCAGACAATGTAAATTTATCCGATGTACCAAAGTTGGAGGTAAGAAGCTTCCAATGTAGGTAGAAATCTGTACACAACTAGCAGATATAACAACTATTGGTAACCATGTTTCTAACAACTACTAGTAGATATAACAACCTTTGTAATTTTAGGATCACATTTAACCTACATCAAGTAAAATGATCTAGGAGTAGTAGAGGTATAAAATGCATAACTTGACGCAGAACATGAGAGACCATTGGAATGAAAATGTAGTTGGACAGTAGATGGACTATTTGATGGTGTCAATGGAGCAACTAAAGCGGACCTGGTTTCGCAGTTCCATATACAACTTTTATAAACATCAACTAGTTCTCATATTTCTTTTTTCTCTCTTTTCCTTTTTTTATGCTTGAAAAGCAACTGGTTCTCATACTTGTTAATGCACCACCTTAGTGTAAAGGTTGCAAAGATGCCAATTCCAAGTTCAAATGTGAGGAATAGCATATGCAAAGAATTTTAATCAAGAAAATCTTGAAATAGAAGCATTTTTTGCATTGCCAGGGAACAGAATCTCTATCCTCTCTTGAAAACAGCAAAAGTAAGCTTCTCGGTCTTAATTATATTTACTGCTGTTCTTTGTTCCACAGATACATTTATTTATTAAGAAAGGAGAGAGCAATTAACAGCAGATATTATAATTTGCAGAACTTACAGGCTGCCAGGAGTATGTCGTCATGAACGCGAATTGCACCGGAAATTAGCAGTCCCAGACCAAGCCCAGGAAAGATATATGCATTATTTGCCTAGTTTATAAAAGAGAGAATTTAGTACTTATATTGTATACTTGTTAAGAGAAAATGTAAGCCACATCGTTTTGACATCTCAAACCTGGCCAGACACGAAGACTTTCCCCTTGTACTCAACAGGAGCAAATGGACTCCCGCTAGCAAAAATGGCTCGGCCCTGAGTGGAACATGAAAATATTATAGAACTTCAAAAATCAAAACATATGGGAGACGAGAACACTGACAGAGCAATACCAACTTCATACATAGTTACATACAAAGTGGACTGTCTAATAACTTACATTACTCCATGTATAAGCCTCTTCAGCAGTACATTCAGACTGTGATGTTGGGTTGGAGAGAGCAAAAATAATTGGTTTCTGCATTGCAAAACATTTAGAACAGTAAGTTACTCTTTCTTAGACATATTACCCAACTCAGGTGGGACTGCAGAATGTAGCTTTTCTCCAAGAAGGAGTTCAAGGAACGAGGANACCTAACAATCAACCCCTAGAGGAAGAATGATTTGTGGATGCTTAGTATAGCAAAATAGCAGTGCGGCAGAATGATAGAAAGGATAAGATATATGATGCAGGGGATTTCAAATACCTTAGAATCCACCATCCAAATTTTCTTACGCGTCTCTTCTGGAGGGGCTCCAGTCTACATAAGAAAGACTAATGCATAAAACACCGCATATTTCATTGTATTAAAGGTGGTTGAAACATTTGACAGGAGAGCACTAATCCAAACAAAGACAAATTGCTTCCTTCAAGTCCTAACCTGCTTTGACATCTCAAGAGCTATGAGTTCTGCTATCCCACTACCAGCCTGCATTGTCAACAAGTGACTTACCAAACATAAACGGAAATTTAAAGAAACAGAGAATGGAAGGGATAACTAAAATATGATCAAATCCGGCTCTGCAATGGATGGAATATGTACCTCTCCAGCTCCCAGGAATAAAAATGTATTCTCTGCTAAGGTTCCTCCCACCAAGTTTAGTGCTGACATGAGCCCTGCAAGGACCACAGATGCTGTCCCCTGTAAGAAAGCACAGAACAGGAAGATGTTAGTAACAGCATCGTGTATCAATCATACAAATGCCACACCTACGTTTCCTTACAAGAATGAGTCCTTATCTTACCTGAATGTCATCATTGAAAACAAGGTGGCTAGTTCCGTACTTTGCAAGAAGGTCAAATGCGTTATGATTCGCGAAGTCTTCAAATTAGTGATGTATATAATGAAGTTAGAACACAAAGTGAAGTTCGATTTACATATGTACAACTTAGTCAGAAGAAAACCAACCTGAATGAGCACTTTCTCGCCGTAATTCTGCTTGACAGCAGACATAAATTCATCCAGGAGTTCAGCATATTCCTGAATGTGGAAGAAGCATCAAGTAAAGAAAGTAAAGAAGATATACAACCATCTATGAGATGTAATTTACGACCTAGCATTGTAGGAAATAAAATTGTGAACCTGTCCTCTAGCTCTTCTTTGCCTGAGCCCAATGTAAAATTCATCTTTCAACAATTTCTCATTGTTTGTGCCCACATCAATGGTTATCGGCAAGCACTGAAAAGGAAGAAAGGGTAATCAAGATACAACACTATTTGTGAAAGAAAGGCATCATGTCCATTTCTAGCAACCGTTACATTTTCCCTACAGAAACTTACAGCTGACGGCCGAACGCCTCCAAGAGCGGTGTATAAAGAGAGTTTCCCCACAGGTATTCCCATTCCCTGTCAAGATGCAATGATTTTCAGTAATATGCCTTTAGAAAAATAGATAAATATGCGAAGAAATATGTAGTAGGTATGTTAAAAAATAAATTGGTGCATAGAGGATCTGGGAGTATCAGTTATGAGACAAAAACTAGTTTTCTGTTATTCCTTGGAACTCGCCTAAGATTATTTCAAATAATTTGAGTGAAGTTCATATACAACATACCTGGCAACCTAGGTCCCCAAGGCCTAATATTCGTTCTCCATCAGTTACAACGATTACTTGAATTTTCTTCTCAGGCCAATTCTTTAATACCTCAAGAATTTTACCTCTGTAAATGGCTATCGCATTTCAGTTTAAAATGAAATAAGAAAAAACCCCGGGCCACTAAATTGAGAATTATCTATTGAATTCCTAATACATACTTTTCTTTCAAGCTGATAAAAAGACCTTGAGGACGTCTGAAGATGCTACCATACTTCTGGCATGCTTCGCCTACTGTTGGTGTATAAACTACCGGGAGCAGCTCTTCTACGTTTTCCATGAGAAGCTTGTAGAATAGCCTTTCATTTCTCTCCTGCAACAGGATGCATACAGCAAGAATTTGTGTATTACGAGGCCAATAAAGTTGGGCATAAAGATGTAGAAGGACTTGATCCAACTAAGATCTATTTGTTTGGGACGTCCCAGATGTAATCAGATTCCAAATATTATTCTGTCATCGTGCTCAACTTAGTATAACTTAACAGAGAGCAGAAACTGAGCATTATCAAAATCATTTGTGCTAATACCTGAAGATCCATCATAGCTATGTACCTTTGCAGTGGTACATCATACTGACGCAGATTTTTCATCAATTTCTCAACCTGAGACAAGAAAAGTGACACAGTGATGCAGTTAAAAAGTGAGCTTCCATTTGATCAGGGAGGGGAAGACTGGGAGAAACATAAATCAAGAATATGCAAAAACCAATATGGACAACCTGAAGCTCCTGATCAACAACTACAGGAGGAAGAAGACCACGCAAATAGTGGGAATCCCTTTCTTTCTCACTGAATGCAAGCCCTTTGTTGTAGTTTGGATCACGCAACAATGAGTATCCGCTGCTCACCAAACAACAGAATCATATTCATAACGGACATAAAAGAAAAACACTTCTCAGGTTCAGCTGTTCATCCTCTTTCTCTATCATATTCTCTCTCTCTATATATATATATAATTTTATTTTATTTTATTTTTTATGTGAAGCTGTTCATCCGCTTAACACTAAAAAATATGAAGTTAATCAACAAAATGACATCATTTTCAGGTGAGTTCAAATTAAAAAAATTGCTTTTGATATACTTTTGTGAAGCCAAATATAGAAATCACCCAAATTTGTGGTGTCCTCATGGCGTACAGAAACCAGAGGCACTATATTTAGGGAACGTTTGGTTGGTAGGATAAAGGATAACAATCCCGGGAAAAAATGTGGGATTATTTTATCACGCGTTTGGTTTAAAATATGTAAACTATTTTATTTATTAGTTTTAAAATAAAACTACTCCTTTATCCTGCATTACTAATCTACCAGAGGCACTAATTTAAAACAAAGGCTTAAAATATGTAAACAAAGTAGCGTATACTGCAAATGCTTAAACTATATATATCTGATTTATTCATTTTCTATTTCTGTGGTTATATAAAAAAATTATAACATAACATAAAAGACCAAGTGGCATTTTAACAATAAAAAGTAATAAAATCTGGCCCGGACAAAAAATTTCATTCTTCAACAGATTCTAATAAATTAATCGAAGAAAATAAACGCAGATTGAAAAAATAAAAAATCGGAAAATCAGATCAGTGCATTGGAATTGTCGAAACATAATGAAAAGGTGAAATGTTTAAACCTAGCAACAGAGTGAGTCCAAGGGGTAATAGTTTGATCTTCAGTGGCACTATCCTCGCCGTAGACGTCGCCGACTCCTCCACTGACCGCCGATTTTGAATCTTTCTCAATAACTGGAGCACTTTCCTTCATCTCCTTCAAAGTATTCTCCATTAAAACACTTGCATGCCGCTCTCCGGGCTTGACATTTGAGCTCACAGACGCCACCGCCACCATTGGAACTGACATCCTTTTCCGAGACTGAGTCAAACATCTTGAAACCCCAGATACCGAATTGTTCTGCAAATAAAAAATTTAGCCACATAAAATCATCTGCTGTAACAAACATTTGTAGAATAAATTAATCTGGTTTATTCCTCTCTTTTTTTAAAAAAAAAATGTGTTATACAAAAGCTATTACCGTACAACTGCTTCCGTTCAATGAGAACATTGTGATAGAAATAGGAGAAAAGACTGAGCTTTTAGCAGTGATTTGAAAATGGGAAAGAGAGAAATTAAGAGAAGAAGGTGAAGAGTGTAATGGTAAAGCTCTTAGCTCTCTTCTCCTTATTATATACCTCTCTCTCTCTCCTACCTGTAAGGTCGCTTTTTATCAGGGGGTTTTGCAAGGAAAATGCGGCTACTGGACGCTGTAAATTTCGCACTCGCTCTAAAAATAATAGCCCAAAAAATATATAATTTTTTTATATATTTTGTATATATATATATATATATATATATATATATATATATATATACTATGTATATTTTATATAAATTTTATATACTTTTTCGACTGCCACATGTAAATAGTTTCTGCCGCGACTAAAAGTGATAATACCCCTTACACTTAACCTTAGGGGTCGTTTGGCCCATAGACAAGTTAGGTCGAGATAGATTAATGGCAGGGTAACCCGATGCACTAGGCTTCCGCTATATGCGGTGTTCGGGGAAGAGCCGGACCACAAGTATCTATTGTCTGCAGTCTTACCTTGTATTTCTGCAAGGGGCTGTTTCCACGGCTCGAACTCGTGACCTCCTGGTCACATAGCAGCAACTTTACAAGTTACGCCAAGGTTCCCTTCATTTATTTTTTGTCTTTTAATAAAATAAAAAATGTTTTTACTATTATGAGGTTTAATTTTATGAATACAAACTTTAATCCATGTGTTGCTAGCTAGTACCCGTACTTTTATTCCATATTATATTTCACATAAAAATGTACATAAATTTTCACATAAATTTAAGCATGTATTTTGCATGAGAAAACAAAAGGTAACAACCAAACTTATATAACTTAATGTTAATTTAATGTGGAGGTTAATTTTTTTTTCCAAACCCAACGAAACATGATACAAAATAATGCTAGATTTTAGGTGGAGACTAAATTTTCTCTTACCCCCAAACGGCCCCTTATTTTTTTCACGTTTCTAATGACCAAACTTATGACTGATATTTTTTGTGGGCTATCATTTTCTTTTTTGGTTGTCCTGATATTTCCAGGATGGAGTCCACGTGATTCTATATTCCAGGGTTTGGTAGCCACAAAAACATTGACTAATGCCTCCTTAATTAAATTAAATTGTGACCTAATCTTGCGGCTCACGTTCTAAATTAAGGATTTTACCTTCTAGAAGAAGTAAAATATCGTTTAAAGATGAATACATAACCTTATCTTGCATCTCATGTCAAGAATTAAATTCATTTCTATAAAAGAATATACCATTTAATTAAGGAATAGTTTTTATTTTATGCAAGAATGACCAGCGGCAGATCTGAATTGTAAATGAGTTCTCGGGAACTCAATAATTTTTGCGTAAATTCTGAATTTATATTTAATTTTTTCTTATTAAATATCAATAAATATCTAACCATGAACTCAGTTATTATTGCATACTAATTTAAAATTGGTAGGAACCCATAAACTTCAAATCATGAATCCGCCTCTAAGAAATATGATATACTCAACATGGTTTGAGCTGTAAAATGCGAGTAACTGTTCGGATAAATATTAAGTACATTAAGCATTTAATAATTTTTTAATTAAAATTATACGATTTCGATTAAAAAAAAACGAAACATGCAACCAATTTACTGCCCTCTAAGAATTTGACAATACTATTGAATCTAGTTTTTGTTATGTTTTCTGTTTAAACTTTCATAATTTGAAATTGAGTGTGAATCAAACAAAGTTATGTACTTAAAAATGAAAATATGTTTGCTTTAAGTTTTAAGTTAAACTAACAATCCGAGGTTAGAGAATAAGAGTTCAAAGAAGGAAACATATAGGCTAACGATGCTGTCTGATGCTGACAAGGATCTGTTTGGGTGCCAGAAAGGTAAGATTGAAAAGATCCTATGAAAATGAAAGCTGACGTGGGGTTATGACTTATGAAAATATTTGGAACTTGTCTTTATCTTTGGAAAACGCTTCTCCAAGTTGTCGTTTTGCTTACTTTAGATTAAATTAAATAAATTGTTACAATGAAGTGAGATGTTGTTTCCAATAGACCATCGGCACAAGAAAGCATAAGCACCACATTAATAAAAATATAAACAAAAAGGAACAATACCAAAAACCCATATAAAAGCAGAATAAAACAACAAGATAGTAAAATGATCAACTATGGAAAAAAAACAACTGATAGTCACAACATCCTAACCCCAAAATACATCATTTTAATGTTGCTAAGTTTAGATTAAATACCAAACTCAAACAAGCTTTTCTCACGTCTAAAACAACAAGATAGTAAAGTGAGCAACTATGAAAGAAAATATCTGATAGTCACAACATCCTAACCCCAAAATACATCATTTTAATGTTGCTAAGTTTAGATTAAATACTAAATTCAAACAAGCTTTTCTCACGTCTTTTTTTCATTTTTCTCGCACCTGCATACCGTTAAAGTTTTTTTAAAAGAATTTATTTACTTATTTATTTCTCACTATAGTAAAAATACTCTCTAGCTTTCCACGTATCATTTCTCATTGTTTTCTTTTATAAATGTCACAAATTGCTCTTGTACTTTTAACATTTTAGATCAAGAATTCGCGAATGGTCATTAAAGGTGATGTTTGGTGGCATATGAATATATGTATGAGTCCAAATTTGGACGACCACGACTGTTGATGAGTACGACAAGCGATGAGATCCTCGTAACTCGACATCCTATAGAGGACGACAGACGAGCGAATAAGAAACTGTAGAGCCTTTGCAGTAGTGTAGGTCTATTAGAAGGCATTAGGAATATTCTTTCGAATATACTCTATGATTTGTCTTTTAGGGCTTAGAAGGGATTTTGTCCCTTATATATATTGCGTAAAGATAACCTTGTGAGGGGGGGCTTCTTCTGCATTTTTCAACTAAGAACACTTGCTATAATACTCACTTACATAAACGATTGATGTCATTATTGTTTGGGGATTCATCTTGATAAGGTCAAGAAATATCACCCTCTATATTCACCTTGTGTACCTTTTGTTTTAGAGATTATTATACTTAGCTAAGACTTACCCCTTCATTTTCTTTAATTGATTTGTCCAAAAAGGTTCCAATATTTTTTTAGTCAAACAATATCCATGATTTACGTTTATAGGGCCTGCAACTACTTCAAATCAGCATATAATAATAATTGAGTTTATAATTATATATTTATAGACCGAAAAAGTAAGTGCACCACATAAATTGGATTAGAGGAAATACAACTTAAGACCATTTAACTTAATGGGCCTCTAAAGTGATGGTCTGATGGAGTTTAACGCGTAAAAATAACATGGGCTAGCCAGTTTTTGCACTGGTCATTCAAAAATAACCAGCGTTTGCAAAGTCATTGAAAAATAACCACTATTTTGCTGCAAAATGGAAAGTTTCAGCATAATATACTGGAGATCGGTGCACTTGTATATGAACTTCCAACATATTATGCTGGAACTCCAGCACGCGGAAAGTTCCAGTATAATATACTGGATATTGGAGCACCGGTGTTCCATCTCCAGTATATTATGCTGGAATTCCAGTATATTATACTGGAGTATTTTTCTGGGTTATGAACAGTATTTTCGTTCAGATTTATCTTTAGATGAAAAGTGGCTAAATTTTGATTACTTTTAAATTTCTCCCGTTTAATGCCTCTGTCGGAATGTCTGATCCTCCAAAGGCCCACAATCAGTCCATAAACTGTCTCTGCTGTTCCATGACCACCACTTTTGGAAATTGCTAAAATCAACAAGTAGCTGAAACAGTTGTCCTTTTAGAGGATTTCTTTGTTTTAAACTTTTAATTGAGGAGTTTTTTTCTAATGAATATTGAGAACCTTACCATCCCGATCAAAGGCAAATTCAAAATTTGATGGTTACATGTGCCATTGCTGAAGAGATTAAATTTGGTGTACATTTAGTATGTTCGATCCATTTTTTTTTATTAATTCGATTAAGTTCGATTTATTTTGAAACAATTCAATTCAATTTAAAAGTTTTTTTTAATGCATAAATTAATATGTGATCACAAAATCGAATAAGTTTTGTCCAATTCGGTCTAATTCTCAGGATCAAATTTGATTAAAAAGTATAAAGTAAAAATAAAAATTTTAAATTGGAAAATACGCCACTTCAATCTACATATAGCTAGATTAATATTATGTCTTTAATGCATCACTCTAAATTTTTCTAAAATTAATAAAATAACATTAGATGGATAAAAGAGAATGATTAAAATCCCATTCAAATAAATTTTAAGATCTAGAAAAAAAAGAAGCAAATATACAATTTAAAATAGTAAAAGTGGGGATTGTACAAAAAGTTAAAAATGGGATTGTACAAAAGAGTGAATAACAAAGGTGAAGAAATTAAAAGAATTTAAGGAGCATAGAGAAAAGAAAGGGAAGGGAAAAAGATAACAAGAGAACAATTAGGATCACAACATAGAGAGTTTTGATTCTTTTATGTGTGATTTCAGTGCTTTAACCATGGCACCTACAACCATTTTGTGACTTAGGGTGCCACCCGTTATATGTTCAATATTTTGAGGAAAATATTAGTACATATATAAGATTTTACCCGGGTGACCGGGTGACATACCACCCACAATCCCCTACATAGATCTGCCCCGGATCCCGAGGACAAAGAAGCCAGAGAACCGGTGCGATAATGGAGGATCCGCGACATCATTCTTTGCTCGATGGTACTGCTAGTGTCGGCTCTAGGGGGAGGCCATTAAAACAACTGTTATTGAATGCCCCAATTTTATTACTATTATTTGGTATTAAATATATAATATAGTAAAAAGCTATTATTATTATTATTATTGTTAAGAAGATACTAGTTTTATAATTTTTTTGGAAAGTGATAGAAATTATTTAGATAATTATACAATTTTTTAGTATCTATGAAATATTTAAAAAAAAAGCAAATTGATGATGTTATTAATAATTAAAAGAATAAAAACAAAAGTCTCTTTGTAGTATCTTTTAAAGTTGATATTTCTTATAAATAGCGGATCAAGCTTCAATTTAAAGTAGACCTGAACTATTGCAAATTGTGATTATATTTTAACATATACC